GGGGTCAAAGGCTATTTCGCTTAATCGACATTTTTGCAACATTACAGGAGAATCAATCAATTCAAAGTTTAAAATTTGGAAAAAAAAAAGTCGGTTGTCTGTAAAGTCGGTTTACTGACGATAGTTGAACGTGACAACGTCATACGAGAATACTGATGGAATGGTTTCATTTTTCAATTATCCTAATTATCGTTGCTATAAACAATTGGCACCACATTCACTTTTCACTGAACTTCATATTTCACGAAAACATGTAAATGTATTATTGTATAGCATCTGTCCACGCGGATGCATCGCTCACTCAAGTAGGAGAGAGACAGATGTCGAACGCTGCCGAACGCGGAGGCCGATTGTGCCTCTTTGTCGCTCGTTGCGCGCTCTCGCTTGCACTTCAAGCCTTAAATGGAACGCCTCAGAGCGAGGTAACGCAGCATAAGTCATGTTTTTTCGTGCGCGCAGCCGGCTCCATCGAATTATAAGACGTTGTCACGTCAAAAATATCATAACAAAAACACTTCTTCAGCTATTTCAATGGAGTAAACTCATTTGAAGTTCAATTAAAAGCGTCGAACTGTTGATGCTATAATACAGAATAAAGGGCACCTTTAATTACAAAGATAAATGTCGCGTATTAAGCGAAATTTCGGTTAAACCAGACAGCCTTTCATCCCTCCATAACATTGGCTGACGTCCATGAGCGACGGTGACCACTTACCATCAGGTGGGCCGTATGCTCGTCTGCCTACAAAGGCAATAAAAATAATAATAATAATAATAGTTTCACTAGTGCCAACAACAACTACACAAAACTCAAGTCAATAGTAATAATAAAAGTTCTTTAACACTTCCAAGGAATAATAACATTTATATACCTTGATCTTGAACGACCATCAGTTATTGCGGCAATATCAATACATCGTTACACACCATTGTTTACACGCAATCAATTTAAGGGCAGATCACATAATTCTTAAAAAACAGCTCTTAAATAACAGAATCACTTAATAAATCCATAAGGCGTGTTGTCAGCAAACAAATATGTAAATTATGTAAATCATAGTGCAGACCAAATGGAATCTTCCATATTTTTATTGACACGTAATATTATAATTCCACGTATGAATCATTTCCTTGCAATACTTACTTATCATTAGCTTAGAAAAATCTCTATACGTTGGCAAAGTCAAAACAGTTCAGTATCTCCTCTGTTTTTTAGCCGATTTTCTTTAATTGGCGTTATCTTTGCCGAGTATCTACTGATAAAATTTATTGTTGAAAAATAAAATATTTTAACAGTAGAAATTTATTTTTCTTCAAAATATCGAAGACAATCGATACTAAAATATGTGTGGGATAAGGTCAAAGTAAATAGCAGTTCTTTGGAAAAGTAACAAAATTTATTATTGGAACGAAGCTCCTTATGGGAAGATGCGGAGGGGTCCCTAACTAGGAAAAATCGTCCGTAACGGAAGATTTTTATTAGTAATACACACAGTGTACGACTTAACTTTGTAATAATGTACAAATTAGTAATGCACACACCGTGCGACTTAACTTTGTAATAACGTCCAAAAAATAACATATTTTTTATCATTCACTGACCGCGATCTTAGAGCGTTCGTTTGCGCAATACACTAACTCTTATGCAAACAATCGTGAACGAAGTGTACCACAATAAGTTCGCACGTTAAATGCGTTGCGTTAAACGTTGAAATTTAAATGAATACTTTTATAATAAGAAACTTCGTTCCTATCCGGAGTCCCACGACACTACACATATTTTTTTAACACACGTCGTAAAATGTTCACACACTTCGCTATCGTTATCTTAATCTTCTCCCCTCCGTCCCTTTCTTCCTCATACATTCATCCCTTTCACTCTAAACGTTCCGTTTCCCACACATACAAACAAATACTATATACATTACACTATACTACGACCAAATCACCGCCTAACATCACATACGGAATTATTACTACTAGGTACTACTGCACTGACGCTATGACCCCGGAGTGGGTCTTGGCCTCCGACAATAAATGTTGCCATTCTTTCTGGCACTGCGTAATACCTTGTCTGTCCGACACTAGGAGCTCATCACATAAATTTCCTTCCACAGCGTCAGACCAGCGGTACTTGGGTCTCCCTACGGGGCGGCGTCCCTCCGATACACTTGCATACATGGAATTGATAATCTAAAATATTAACTAACTTGAAAAAGTGAGGTCACCCTGCACATTCATGCAGAAAAACAGTTATGTTGTCCTGTTTGAAGGTTTGGTCAGTCATTCTGCCATTTGGGACTTCGATCCAATGTTCCAAGAACATTGGCAACTTTCGCTCGGCGATATATCAAGCACCAGCTGAGCCGCAGTTAACGAATTAGCACAAAAAAGTACACATGTCAGAAGTGAAACTTTTTTGGCGAACCAATTTATAAGTCTTGCTTATAGTTATACAAATCTAAAACTTTAGATTTCCGAGACTTAGAGGAAGGGAAAAAGGAAGATATGTTGCCGCCAAAAGTCTGTCAAATATTAATCTCAAACCTCAGTGTTGACAGTCACATTATGTTTAGATTTCTAAATTGTAAATGACTAATATTTTGCCAATTGAATTGACTAATTTAATTTCATGCTATTTGATTAATGTTCCAAATTCTTTTCATTTCATTTCAATTCCTATTAACATTTTTCATAAAAAAATTATAAAATATTAGACTGTATGGTATAATACATTTGCCTTTCCAGTTGGAAAAATACAACAACTACTACTACTGACATTTGACAAGTACTTAATTTCAATAGTAGTTTGATGTCACTTCCGTTGCATACCTGCGTGACGTTCTGTAAAAATTTTACCCTCATGCGCCTAAAGAAGTTTCACTTCAAAAATGGAGAATCAGCTACGATTCTGACTACACATAAACAGATTTACCTCGGTCCGTGACACTACTAGTTACAAAACAGCATTAAACTTGAACTTTGTAATTAACTGTACCCGTATAAAGAAGCATTCTCATTGTACGCACTTTAAAGGAATGCAATAAATATTTTTTGGTATAGACGACGACTACGTGAATGCTGGACAGTTAATTGGGTCAAAGCCTCAGTTTTGCATAGCGCTTGTCCTACGAATGATACCGAAATACCGAATTCTTCATATTTCGCGGCAGAAATACATTTGTTATTATTTCGTATACTTTTGGTAGAAACTAAACGGTATTAATCATCTTTTTTAAATTGCTAGCTATCTGGATAACGGTAGATAGTAACGGCATTACTACTAGCTCTAACGGTTCTTTTCAAAGCCCGTTTGAAGAAATCAACCAATTCTTCTCCCCTTTAGTGTCCCTCTTGTGTTTGTTATTTTATTAATAACTAGCTGACCCGGCAGACTTCGTATTGCCTCAATCGATAAATAAAAGACCTAAACTTTTGTATAAAATAAACTTAAGACAAGGAAACAAAAGGAATCCGTCCGACGGGGGACATATCAAAGGGAAAACAAAATTGTTATTTTTATTTAATTCCGAGCATTTTCATATTTATCTACTTTTTAAACCTTCTCTGGACTTCAACAAATAATTCAAGACCAAAATTAGCCAAATCGGTCTAGCCGTTCTCGAGTTTTAGCGAGACTAACGAACAGCAATTTATTTTTATATATATAGATATAGAATACTTCTTTCTTTGTACCAAAAAACTCAATAGTGTTTACGTAATGTAAAGAAATCTTTGAAAACAGTAATTGTCAAATAAAAGGAAAACAATGCTCATTAACATAAATGAATTAATAAACGGGATCAAATAACACGCAATCATAAGCCTCCAAACTAGAATTTCCTGTTTTATAAGAACTAGAAACCGATACACAACATCTTTAATTATAAACCTCTAAATATACATAATATTTTGATACCGAACATTCCAAGTTTCAGCAAGTTCACGATTCATAAGCTTCTAATCTAAAGAACGGGGAGAGTTCGCGAATTTTTTTAGTTATTTTGTATTAAGAATTACTGGATGATGACTGAGCTTTGCTCGGCTTTTTTGTTTTTTTTTAACGCCATCTTGTTGTGCCTTTAAAGCAGTATTATTATTCGCCAATAGATGTCGGGAAGAGTCTTATAGTTGATTATCGATAAAGTTGATTATTGAAAACACGAATAAAACAACATTTTCTGAAAATAAATCGTAGCTAGATCGATTTATCGCCCCCGAAATCCCCTGTATACTAAATTTTATGAAAATCGTTGGAGCCGTTTTCGTGATCAGATTATATATAATACTAGCGACCCGCCCTCGCTTCGCTTCGGAAACATTAAAACACACATGAAATAAAAAAAAAAAAATAATAAAAAAATTAAAAAAAGTAGCCTATGTTCATCAGGGACAATGTCGGCTTCTAATGGAAAAAGAATTTTTCAAATCGGTCCAGTAGTTTCGGAGCCTATTCGAAACAAACAAACAAACAAATCTTTCCTCTTTATAATATTAGTATAGATATAGATATACAAGAATTGCTCGTTTAAAGGTATAAGATTTGCTGCAGTTATGAACACAATGTCTTACATTTTGCGATTTACCATTACGTTTCTATCAATATTGTTAAACCGTATTTTTTTTTGTTCTTTTTTTTATTGCCCTTGAAGGCAGACAAGCATACAGCCCACCTGATGGTGATTGGGTGAGTTGTGGTGAGCTACCGTCGCCCATGGACTTCAGCAATGCCACGGGCAGAGTCAAGCCGCTGCCTATTTTTTAATTTATTTATTGCTTAGATGGTTGGACGAACTCACAGCCCAGCTGATGTTAAGTGGTTATTGGAGCCCATAGGCATCTACGACGTAAATGCGCCTCCCACCTTGAGATATGAGTTCTAAGTTCTCAAGTATAGTTACAACGGCTGCCCCACCCTTCAAACCGAAACGCATTACCGCTTCACGGCAGAAATAGGTAGGGCAGTATATGATCTAACCTCCACGAAATCTCATTCACAGATCCGCGGACAGAAAACTGGTGGTTAATGTCCGGCCCGGGACCACTTCTCACATTGCTGGCGACATACGTCTACTTCTGCACATCAGTGGGACCTCGCTACATGAGAGACCGGAAGCCTTATGACTTGAAGAACCCAATAATACTGTACAATGTAGTCCAAATTCTGATGAGTGCTTACTTGGTCTACGAGGTTCGTACTTTGAAGACTTGACTTCTAATTTTAAGTATTGAAGAACAATACTGATTTTTATAAGGATTAAACTGTCTTAGAGACAACGTAATTAATTTTTTTTATTGCTAGATGAGTGGACGAGCTCACAGCCCACCTGGTGTTAAGTGGTTACTGGAGCCCATAGACATTTACGACGTAAATGCGCCACCCACCTTAAGATATAAGTCTCAAGTATAGTTACAACCGCTGCCCCACCCTTCAAACCGAAACGCGTTACTGCTTCACGGCAGAAATAGGCAGGGTGGTGGTACCCACCCGCGCGGACTCACAAGAGGTCCTACCACCAGTAATTACGCAAATTATAATCTTGCGGGTTTCACTTTTATTACACGATGTTATTCCTTCACCGTGGAAGTCAATCGTGAACATTTGTTGAGTACGTATTTCATTACAAAAATTGGTACCCGCCTGAGATTCGAACACCGGTGCATCGCTCAACACGAATGCATCGGACGTCTTATCCGTTAGGCCACGAAGACTTCAATTAAACTGATCCAATAAAATCTGTGATTTACGATGTGATTTGTGTTATGTTTATGTTATTTATGTGGGATAATGACCTTATGGTTGTCGTAATTTACAGGGTCTTATAGCGGGATGGTGGAATGACTACAATTTTTCCTGTGAACCAGTCAATTACAGTGATGACCCCAAGGCCAAGAGGGTATGGCGTCATGTTTCTAATCCCATTCTCTTGATTAATAGATAAAACCTTGCTTTTTAGATAAACCAAAAACTTATTTATTTACCACATCGGTAAATAGCATGCACGCTCTGTTTTGACGATCTTTATATATAGCTAATCCACATACCTATACTAATATATAAATCTACAGTGGTTTTTATAGATGTTCCGTTATAACTACTGAACCATGCATCCGATTGACTTGAAACTTGATATACATATAGAAAATACATGTACTTAATGGATAGGTTAATATTTATATGAGTGTTGGACTCCTTAATAATAATGACAATAAATAATAATGTTAATTTTAAATGCCCAGCGAAGCGGGCGAGTACGGCTGGTATGTTATAATTGTTTTCGATCTGACAATACAACCCTAATGGTACTATTACGAAAAACTTATTTTACAAGTGATTACAATAACTGTCCCAAGTTTCAAGCTAATCGAATGAATCGTAATAAACGATAGATTACGAGCAAACAAACACACAATATTATTATTATATTATTTTAGATAAATTTTATAGTTGCGTGATTGTTGATTTCTGTAGCCTTAAGCTCTATGCGATTTGGGTTAGTATATATTGTTTGGTTCACTAGACTTCTACATACAATATTATAAGACGGAAGAATATTTTGTTATGAATAATATTCTGCGTAGTACTTTAAATTTATAACAGTATCTTTATATATTATTCATTGATGTAATAATATAATATGTATATGAGATCATTTCATATTATTAGATATATATTTATATCGTTGTTTTTGTCGGATAATTTCCGATTATCGACCGATATTGATAATTTAGGTAAGGTTTTGTATAAATTATTCAAAACGTGTTTTATGTGGTTACGGAATTTATTGTATCTTAATGTATTTTGAAGACAAGCGAACGAAATCCAGAGGTCACCTGAGTTCAAGTTCGCGGAGCCAATTGATATCATCATAACGTGAATGTATTGCATAACGACCCTTTACTGGTGGTAGGACGCATTGTGAGTTCTCACATGTAGCTACCACAACCCTGCCTGTTTCTGCCGTGAAGCAGTTAATACGTTTCGGTTTGAAGGATGGGGCAGCCGTTGTACGGTACAAACTGAGACCTTAAAACTCATGTCTAGAGGTGGGTGGCGCAATTTACGTTGTAGATGTGTATGGGCTCCGGTAACAACTTAACATCAGGTGGGTCGTGAGCTCGTCAACACAGATAAGCAATATAAAAAAATGGAAAAAAACGATTCAAGAAAACAATTCAATTGTCAAAAAAACATCAAGTGCCTCTTTTGTCTTAGTTGTATTAATTGGCTCAAGAAATGGGTTATTGCTATATATTGGAGGCCTTGTGAAAATTTTCACATATTTCCTAGCGTTGAGCCTAGTTGTAGAATAAATTAACGACTTTGACATTCTTGTTTTGTCGAAAAGTAGTTATATCGCCGTTAAAACCGGACTATGAATTTATTTAAGAAAAAGTTTAAAGGTGAAGATGATGACTGGCAGCTACACACTCAGATAACTGCCATGTATCCAACGTAAAGGACATGGGCCATTTTCGGCCCGGCTACTCGTGCTCTCAAGGACATTAATAATATATATATATATAAAAAAAAACATTTCATTTTTATATACTTATTATAAAATTTAAGTGAATTTTAATGGTGGGATAATTAAAATCACAAATAAAAAGAAATTAGCATGACTAAACTACATTGATATTAATGAAGGAGTTGCCATAGGTAAAATATATTTAATTTTATATTTTAAACAATTCACATTAAATCTTCTAAAAAAAAATCATTATATTACCAAAAACTAGCAAAATATATTAACATATTTAATTAATGGATTTTAAAATTAATATAAAATATTTTATCTAAACAAAAATCTATTTTTATATTTTTAAATCCGTAGAATAAATCATTACATGGATGAATATTTATTGATCTTAAGCAAAAAAAAAAAACTACGCTTGTTCTAATGTTTGTTGACGTTTTACATTTGATTATTAAATGTTTTGTTGCGATATACCTGCTTATTATATTTTGTTCTAACATAAAGTATAGTAATATAAATAATATTTATGCTGATGATGATGTTAAAGTGTCAGTGTATTGACAGCAAATTCATATGATATAACCTAAAATTCTAATCTCATTTTTTAAATATCTCTGTATCCCCACGAACAATATTGATTTTTATTTGTTTTTAATAAAAGGGATATATAGTCTGTTATTTAAACTTAATTTCATTACTTTCTTTGAACTTCGTTTAGTGGGCCGCGCAATGTATGAAGAGTGGTCCATATCCTTTATATCTAAATGTACGTACGTAATGTGACGATGTTTGTCCGGGATGAACTTCAAAACCAACTAAATCTCACTTTTAGAATTGAAGTGAAGACAAGAAAATTCTCGTTTTTTAGAAAACGCCAAAAATATAATTGAAGAATTGTGATTTTTTAAGTTTTTGATTTCAATACTTTGACGTATGCGCTAAATGATGGAAAGAGTACGTTTATCTTTTCTGGACTATAAGAGACGGCTTAATTTTATAAACTGATAGAATACATGTTCATAAGTCGTTCGAAATGTAAAACTATTTTCTAAAAATTTTTAGTTATGCCCATGCCGGTGCATTCAATGTATTATAACTTGAGATATAGGTTTTTTTATCTTAACCTATAATCACAATATCTTTGATTGCAAATTATTCGTTTATTAGACTATCTATGAACTCTAAAAATTTCTATCACATGGGGATATAAGTTAGCTCATCGACAGCTTTAGACATACAATAATACAGCGCCATCTATCAAATACTTGTCCAATCCGAACTTTCAAGTACCTATCTAATAGATGACGCTGTATTCCAATCCGGACTTTCAAGTATTTAATAGATGGCGCTGAATTTTAAATTTAAACGTTTCATTAATGATATAATTTATAATAATATGTATATTGAAATAAAGCGCAATGTATGTCCTTTATCTGTTCCTGAACTGTTCTTTGGATTGTGAGGAAACTTGGAACCACTTTGTGTGTAGATTTAGAACAGGGTTCTGTTATAGTACTATTAACAAACAATAGATGGCGCTTGAGAAGTTTCAAAATTCGATGCTTCCATGCAATTAGCCTGTAGCCACAATCACAGCGAAATGTGATCGGTTTTATAATAAACTAGCCGTACTTGCCCGCTTCGCTGGGAATTTAAAATTAACATTATTGTTTATTGTCATTATTATTAGGGAGTCCAACACTCATATAAATATTAGCTTATCCATTAAGTACATGTATTTTTTACATGGATACCAAGTTTCAAGTCAATCGGATGCATGGTTCAGTAGTTATAACGGAACATCCGTAAAAACACTGTAGATTTATATATTAGTGTAGATATATATAAAGTTGGATTATTTACGTCTATTTCATTCGCCAAATGATTGGTTATTAAAATATTACTTCGTACCCATTTCTTAAATTATAGTCAATATAAATGTATGAATTTGTATATAAAGTTATATAAAGTATGACAAGTGCTATTCGATAATTATTTTACTAATAATCAGTAACTGATGGTTTGCCTATACAGATGGCCGCAGCAGTCTGGTGGTATTTCGCGGCAAAAATAAGCGAACTCCTCGATACGGTGTTCTTCGTTCTTCGAAAGAAAAACAGGCAGATTTCCTTTCTACATTTATACCACCATTTCATGATGCCCATTTGCGCTTGGATCGGTGCAAAGTTCTTGCCAGGTACAAAATTTTTATCAACCACTAAAACGCATTTATGTCTATATTTTTTTTTAAAGGGATTTTATGACCTGGTAACTGAGACCTTTAAGTCATGTCTTATTTTAATGTATATTCATATTTTTATGAAAAATGATATTATGGAGTGAAATGAAATGAAGATGATTAATTTGAGACATTAATCAACTGGGATGAAATTAAATAAGATGATATGAGATGAAATATAATCTCAGTAAAATGGTGCTCATTTACTAAGATTTTTTCAGTGGACTTTTTGGAGGATCCCGAGAAGTTACGTCCAGCAGCTATTAAACAGTTAATAAACCACCATTATTACACATTTAAACCCGAAGAAACACTAAATAGACAAAATAAAACAAATCACACAACTTCACTCCTCGCGTTCCCGCCAAAAAGTCCCCATTTATGTCTATTTTCTGATACATTGCTAGAGAGAGAAAAGGTTTTTCCTGTGTCATATCTATCTATGAATTAACTTCCCTATTAGTAATTTTAGGTACTCAATATTAAATTAAATGCTGTTCCAATTTAAAATCTCCCTATATCATCAATTTATCAAGTATCAATTGATAATTCATTCTGATACATTTGCTTTGAACGACCAATTGAGAACGTTTATAATGAATGAGTTTTAAAAATTACTTTTACAAGAAAATGCGGTTAAAATTATTAAAATCGACACGTAACAATTTACGTACCTACTAATTCGTAAATAAAAAAGTAAACAAACAAAATTACCAAACACAAGATGACTTTTTATGTGTATACGTTCAATGAAAACATGAACAATTCCGTTTTTAAATTTGTTATGTTTGAAATTTCAGGTGGACATGGCACCCTACTCGGAGTTATCAACTCTTTCATCCACATCATCATGTACTCTTACTACCTCATCTCTGGTCTCGGTCCACAATACCAGAAGTTCTTGTGGTGGAAGAAACATCTTACAACATTGCAATTGGTAATGCGTTGGTTTCATTTGAAATTTTAACAGCGAGCTAACTAACAAAAAGAGGATTAGCGAAATTCTGGCCACAAAATACACTGCTTTTTTGTTAGTTACTGGTCGTAGGACCTCTTCTGAGTTTACTGGTGGTAGGACCTCTTCTGAGTCCGCACGGGTAGGTACCACCGCCCTGCCTATTTCTGCCGTGAAGCAGTAATGCGTTTCGGTTTGAAGGGTGGGGCAGCCGTTGTAACTATACTTGAGACCTTAGAACTTATAGCTCAAGGTGTGTGACGCATTTACGTTGTAGATGTCTATGAAGATCTGTTCTATACAATAGAAAAAATCATATTGAGTTCATGAATTATGAAAATAACGAAATCAACAGTAAAACTATTCAGTAACTAGGCGGCCGCCTACATTTTTAGTTTTACACACATTCAAGACAATATTAACAGCCCACTGAGTTTCTCGCCGGATCTTCTCAGTGGGTCGCGATTCCGATCCGGTGGTAGATTCTGCGAAGCACTATTATCGCTAGGGCTAGTATTAGAAAATTCTCTCAGGTTGAGCATGTGAGCTCACGTACACGTGCGGGCAAAAAACAATATTAATCTTGCTTTTTTTTACTTTTTCATTTTTTTTCTATCAATAAGTTCGATTGCTACGGCATGTAACCAAGTAACAGTTTGATCTAAGTTACAGTTTAAAAAAAAACGGCCTTTTTAACTTCAACCTTTTGGTCACAATAAGGTTCGATAGCAGCTCAAGCGACCTACTGGTGTGGATACACCCATATCCTCTGTTTAACAGTACGACTAGGGTTGTCACCCTTTTTTTTGCAGATAAAGTACGTTGGCCATTAAGGGTAGTATTAAAATAAAGTAATATTTATTTATTATTATTATGTTTAAATTCATATTTTTTGTTACAATTGATAAAATTAAACACGAAATTTTGACAATTAATGACAGTGACATTGTTGACATTTGAGGTTAGGTCACGTTCAGATTTAATTGTTAAAAAAACGTTAGTTGCTGTGGCGTTGGCGAGCATCGACATCGATTGAGCAATCGATCTATTTCGCCGAACGAAAAAATACATATCGTCTTCTCGCATTAAAACTGTATAATATCAAAACTTACTAATTTTACAGGAGAGTGTTTTAAAGGTTTAACATGTGATTTTTAATATTAATCTTTGCAACATTTATTTTTTATTTTTTTACCAGTTATCCAGTTTACCAGTTTTTTTACCATTATCTGTCTTTTAAAGTAAGATAAAATTATGTATTAATTTTTTTAATAGTAGTCCAAACATACGTAAACTAAAAAATTAATCTAAAACTAAAATACGCTCTTTTGACAATATTTATGAGAAAAATACTGGTGATACCAAATGATTCCGCATATTAACTCAATTTCGAATATTTTTGGAAATTGTACACTTTTAATGCGAAAAGACGATATGACTAAAACATTTCAAATAAAGTAATTTCGTGTACTTTTTTTCACATAAAGTATAAACCAATTTATATACCTGAAATAACGTACAATACTTTATTATAAAGTACGGGTGGCAACCCTAAGTACGACTGACTGCAGCCATTGAATGTTAATTGATTTTTAAACATTACAGATCCAGTTCTGCATAATCTTCTATCACAACTTCACCGTGATGTTCAGAGACTGCAACTATCCCAAGTTCATCAACTTCCTTCTCTCTTTGAACGCTGCACTCTTCTTGTACATGTTCGGAAACTTCTACTACAGAAATTACATCAAGCCTAAGCTGCAAATCAACAAAACGCAACCTACCGAAATTTCTGCCAACGGAAAAGCGAAAGAGTGCTAGTTAAAAGACTTTGTGGGCTTATTTTACAATCGCTATTAGGAAAAAAACTACTATAAGCATGTTTATTCTCAATTTTACGTTAACCAATTTTTGCTCAATAATCGAAATTCGGCTACTATCTAAATACATTTTATGTAATATATTTTCTTTTTTGTCTTACTATTGAAACTTTGAAACGGTTGACGGTATATTCCTAATTATTATTTCTATAGCGACAACGGTCAACAAAAGCTATAGAAAAAAAATAGCTAACAAACAAAAAAGAAAATGGCACTGAATGTTATTTGTCTTCCAATTTATAACCGAATGTTATGTAGTGAACAAAAAAATCGTGACTGTTTTTTACGAATACTATAGTAAATGATAAATACTCTAAATATACATATCGTTAGTACTCAAATTATAGTTTAAATACTTAAAATAGTTCATCACAGATACACTAAATATACTTAGCTAAAATTTAGCAGATGCCTGATTAATAGTCATAATGTGTGCCACTCAATATCAAGCCTTTTGATTTCCAGCACAATTTTAGAGCATATATTTTTGCTATAAAGATAATAAAATGTCAATAATGGCGTTCATAATATAAAATCATAATATGAAGTTCATACGAGTGGTAAAAGGTAATTTGGCTTAAGCGATATTTCCCTTAATACGTGACATTTTTCATTGTAATTAAAGGTGCGTTTTATTTGGCATTAGCATCAACAGTTCGATGATCTTAATTGAACTTCAATTAAGTTTTTTCCATTCAAATATCTGTAGTTTTTTTTTTGCTATGCTATTTTTTTTCAAATTTTAAACTTTATGTAGCTTTGTGTAAAGTTGCAAAAATGTCACTTATACCAAATATTATTCTTTCACCCCTCGATATTACTTTGATAACTTTCAAGTTAATTAGGTTAGTTTAGAATAAGTTTGAAAGTACAAACTGAGGCATGTGATATGTGTCAAGATCCTATTGGCACGGAGTTAATGGTGATATTTATATCTTTCTTCCAAATTTGTGAATCAAGCCTTTAGTTTAGTATTGGTAATGGAATGCAAAGAATCAGAATTTTGATACAAAATAATAGTTATTCCAATTGTTTTTTTTGAACACTGTAAATCTTTCATGACTATTGCTAGTTAACATTCTAATGCGCAACCGGGTTTTCTCAATTTTCATTTCATCGACTGTGAAATCCATTATGTATCAGCATTTTCTATATTTTCCAGCCTACTATTTTTTGCTAATTGGTCCTATGGTATTTCTAGTTGAACGTCACCTCTGATAACGAGTGACAGAAATCAGTTCCAATGACTTAAAGAACGTCCTACTACCAGTAATTACGCAAATTATAATTTTGCTGATGTCATTTTTATTACACGACGTTATTCTTTCACCGTGGAAGTCAATCGTTGACATTTGATAAATACGTATTTCATTAGAAAAATTGGTACCCGCCTGCGAGATCCGAAAACCGCTGCATCGCTAGATACGATTGCACGCGACATCTTATCCTTTAGGCCGACGACGACTTCAAAACTTTCTCTTGTTTAATCACGCTAGCTTCCCAATATATTTTTTATTGATTGCATATATGGATGGACGAGCCCACGACCCACCTGGTGTTAATTGGTTACCGGAGTCCAGAGAAATCTACAACGTAAATGTCGCCACCCACCTTGAGATATGAGTTCTAAGGTCTCACTCAGTATAGTTACAACGGGTGCCCCATCCTTCAAACCGAAACGCATTAATGCTTCAGGGCAGAAATAGGTAGGGTTGTGGTACCTATCCGTGCGAACTCATAAGAGGTCCTACCACCACTAAAATATACAATATATAAATAGCTTAGTCAATTTCAAAAGTAATTATGTCATATCCTTCATGTATTGGTGGGTAGTTTAATAGCCAAGGATATTAGCATCATAGTAGGATAAAAATAACATATTCTGGAGTGCCAGGGTCGCATAACTGATTCTTCTGTTAATAGCCGCCCAGACTATTATCATTAAGATTATGCGACCTGAAAATGTTGAATCTGCGACGTCTTCAATGAGAATCGCGCGTGATACCGATTAGGTTTTCTTTTACCTACACATGTGCAAGTCTAGACGGACTACCCTGGCTTCACCATGGCTGGTAGGTGAACTCACGGGACTCAGCCTGTATAGATTTGCTATCTGCCTTAGCTAAAACAGTCCTTGGTTGAATTTTCTACCATCCACTGAGGATATTCGGTGAGGAACAAAGTCGGTTGTATCTGTGGGTTAAGTTCCACGTTGAACTCTTCGTCAGATTTGACGAGTTCAACGAGAACGGTGACTGGCGCTTGAAATGCCTAAAAGTACCGTGAGTGCTGACCCATTACCTAGTTTCGAAAAAGTTTCTGACGCTGTTTTCGGGTACTTATAAATCGGTTCTAAATCTAAGTCGTTGTGAAGGTCTACATTCCTCACATATCATGGCGCTTCGACGGCTATCCTGTAAAAACGGGATTCTATTACTTGTAGGGTGTTAATGTGAGGGCGGGCCGAGTGAGCAAACACTACACTTGCACAAGTCATTACCGCACATATGCAAGTTTTGTAGAGTTTCACATTATTGCGAATGGACTATTTTCTATGGAGTCTACCGAATATTAACGCGGCTTGGTTGCGTACTGACTTAGTGTGGGGACCGAATGTCATCCTTCTGTCCAAGGTAAAATCTAGGAAGTACCTAGGCGTTACCTTGGCCAGCCCATACCATAGGCTTTCGAGGCCTGGTATGGTATGGGCTGGCCAAATATTTTGATAACGGAAATTGAGTTACCACGCCTAACTCGTGACGAGGTCCTAGAAGGGGGGTAGGGAGGGAGAACGATTCCAATAATCCTTCTTTAGCGCATGATTACAAAACGGAAGACGAATCAACTACCGAAATTTCCATTTTGGTACCCCAATCAATGGCTTTGCGTTAAAAATCAATTAGTTATTCCGTACAAATAAATATTTACGTACAGACAAAAGTAAAAGATTGTGTATACTACAATGTCTCTCACGTATGCCACGTCATAATTCTATTTCTTTGCAATTCATTAGTAATTATTGTACTTTCTAGTTTAATCTAAATAAGTATTTCGTTATTTTACTAATTCATAATGTAGATACGATTTACCTTGTCATTGTGCAATAAATAGCTTATTCAGGTTAAGGATATTCTGTAAGGAGTATACTTTATTTACTATGTATTTTCCGAATTCAAAACGGTAGGAACAAGATTTATTTATTGAAAAGTTTCAATAAACCTTAATGTGTACCTACTTAACCACACCTAAATTCGAATTTTTAAATGCTTGACAACCTAGTTGTCTAAATTTTTTGTAGACTAGATAGTATGTATCGTTTATTTTTTAATTTAGTGTGTACTTTTTTGAAATCGTATAAGACTTGTTTTATTTGTTAGAGAAAATAAAGAATCGGGATTTTTCTAATGTTTACAAATTATTTTCATTTAAGCCCATTTAAAAGTCAGATTGTTGCTCGTCATTCGATACGTTGTCGTATTCCAAAAAAATAATAATATCAGAGCGCTCTCCAAGAAAATACGATGCCAAATCAGAAGGCTCTACGGAAATTCGTTACGCTCCTTGTGATCAGAATTATGGACATCCTGAACGACTTTTAATACCATGTCCGAACGGTCTCGCTTATGCTATTTTTCAATGTTTTTTTGATACTTTAGTGAAGGTTACAGGCGTATCATTATTGAATGAAACGATGATCGCGCGAATCGTTTGAGCAATAAGTTAGGATAAGTAGTAATAAGTTTGTATTAGGAATAGGCACCGTGAAGCATCAGTTTGAGTTACTAATTAATTCAAAGTAAGTTCGCCCTTCAGTGAAATGGTTCGAATTTTAAAGGCTTTCTTAGGTCATTGGCATTTCCCCCTAGGCGCGCGGACATCGTAGGAGGTTCGGCCCCCATCCCGAAAAAAAAAAAAAAGAAAAGGTCATTGGCATTTAGAAATACTAACTTGTTAAAATTCAAATATTATCTCATACTAGGGTAAGTATATCAATTTGACTATAACAATTTTATCGAAGGATAAATCAATTGGTAAAAAACTGTATAACGTATCTAGTACTGATGGTGAGCTACTTGTCAAATAAAATGAAAATCATTACGGTTATTATCAGTCATTGGATTATGGTAAGTGATCACCGATGAGTGGTCATCAAAAGTGGTGAGTGGTCAGCTGCAATGTCTGAGACTCAACTGCGCTGCTGCTCAAGGCTCAAGAATCTTTTGAAATCTGGTGTAGGTTTGAGATCGTAGTGGAGCTTATTCTGGAGTTATATGGTATATGCGTCAAGCAACGGCTTGCCTCTGCCCCTGGCATTGCTGAAGTCCATGAGCGACGGTAACCACTCACCATCCGGTGGGCCGTATGCTCGTCTGCCTACAAGGGGAATAAAAATTAAAAAAAATATGGAAAAAAACATATTTGGAAACGAAGTGTGTTGATTGTAGTGTTTCCAAGTGGTATGGATGTACTCTACTCCGGCGGCGAGAGGTATGATGGTAAAATGGAGATAATGGGATCATCTCAAATAACTCTTTAGAGAACTCCCAATGGAACATATGGTAAAGAACATAATGAGACCCGAAGAGATCCAGAAGCTCCAAACGACCTTTGAGAATGGGATTAACGACATTCCGAACGGCCCTCTTCTGAATGGAATGTGATAGAAGTAGCAGATATTTGGGAGCACCGTCCATAACATGGATGTAGTACTAAACGAAATTCCGAATTGTGCTGTGTGAAGCGTTATTATTTACCCAGGCGTAAATCTAGTGGAGATTAGAAAAAAAGATGTGTGGTGTCGTGGGACGCCGGATAGGAACGAAGTTCCTTATTATAAAAATATTAATTTTAAGTTCTATTCGAGGTATAAAGACAATAAAACTGGAGGCTTCGCAACAACCCACGGTCATTCGGTAACGTGCGAACTTATTGTCGTACACTTAATTCACGGTTGTTTGCATAAGCCGATACCACATCCCTAGAATTATCGAGAATATTCCACACATCTTTAGTATTGTGTTTCCGCTATCCGACAATAGAGGGCGTTGTACTTCTCGAGCGTTCTAGATACTAAGTACTAGATCCTTCAATATTCGTTCGACTATTCGGCGATAGATGGCGTTACTCTTACCGGCGTAACAATATGAAAATTTGATCAGCGCCTGACCCGTATTCGGGGCCAAAATTCTGTGAGCGCGAAAATAAACAAAAGTAGTCCTGTAACGCGAAGCTGCCGTCGCCCTAAGCATGGCTTCTTGGATTCCCCGAATTCACTCTCGGTGCTTTTAGTCATCTCAAACACCGGTCACCGTACTTCGAGGAGCGAACTAACCCATAGACACAGCCCACTGAGTTTCTCGCTGGATCTTCTCAGTGGGTCGCGGGCCATTCCGATCCGGTTGTAGATTCTGCGAAGCACTGCTCTTGCTAGGACTAGTGTTAGCGAGATCTCTCAGGTTGAGCCCGTAAGCTCAGATACTCTTCCGGGCGTACCTGGAAAATAGCCTCTTAGGTTATCAGAGAATAGGTAGGGAAAAAAAACCTAGCCCTCAATGAGATGTTAGTTTGTTAGTGATTGTAAAACGTATTTCTATTATTCGTACTTTCAAAGTCTTTTCACGAATAACATTTAAATACCTATTATTCAATGTTCGA